GGGGTGGTTTGTGTTGGGGAGAAGATAATAAATAGTATAAGTTGAGTGAATGACAATACTTGCAATGAAAATTTTAGCCTATAATTTGATATGTGGATTCGGTTAAATATGTTTTTTTCTTTAATACGAAGAGAAAGAGGAGACAAAGGAGAAACAGGAGAGTGATCAAAGAGTTGAGAGAGAGAAACCAACATGAAGTTAAGCCCGTTTGATAATTATTTCAATTTCAATTTTTTGTGCTAGAGTATAGAGGAAAATAAGAGTGAGAATGGGAGTGAGGATGAGAGGGGAAGAGGGGAGGGAGGAGGAACAAAAGTGAAAATAATTTCAAATGAATTTCAGTTTTTAGTTTTTGTTTTCAATTTGTCACTCCTTCATCCTTCCTCTCATCCCTCCCCTTTCATCTTCTCTCTCAATCTCATCTTCACTCTCATTCTCACTTCCATTCTTCTTCTTTTTCCTCTATACTCTTAACACAAAAAATAAAAACTAAAATTGAAATGGTTATCAATATCAACAGTGCCCTAAATTTATCATCACCATTTCTGGGAATGATTGTTTTTGTCACTAGATTGGCTAGTGTGTTTGTAGCTTTGAATTCTTCAAGGTTAGTTTAGCTCATGTTCAGCCCACCACCATCAGATTGGGTTAGTCTCTGGACATAAAGAGCATTGAAAGGCAGCCCAAAAATAAAAAAAGTATTCTTGATCTTGCAAGTCCTAAGCCCTTTGGTGCCCATTTCCACTTGAAATTCATTCATGCACATCTCTTTCTTTTTTCTCACACTGTTTCTTCTGATTCTTGTTAATCCGACTTTATATGCAATAATTATTCCCACCTCATATGACATAGGGTTTACCTTTGTGTAATATTTAATTAAACTCCACATGCTTGTGCACACCCCTAGTGTTGGAGCTCTTTTTAAATTGGGTACCTTAACTTGAAAGACCTCTTTTTATATTTGTCACCCCCAATGGCCCAGGCCAGGCCACATAACCTAGACACCTCTAGGCATGCTGCAAACATGCCAAACATCCAGTAAGCATTCACTTTTTGAAACATGTTTTCAACTAAATTTAAGAATACTTCCCTGCATAAACTGTGGGTCTACAAAACCCACCTACATTATTGATTTTGAATCGGAAATTACAAATTTGGTATTAACGGCAGAAACTTACTTTTTGTGAGTTCTGTTTATGTTTGCAGGAGCAAAAATTGGCTTTCAGTTCATACCACCATGTGGACCAAGGGATGCCCAATTCCATGAGAGGATAATCCCTACAAATTATAAAAGGGAAATTTTGTTTCACAGTAACACGTTGGCGCGTACTTTACGCAGTGTTATGAATTAAGATATGAACCCTAACCAAGTATATTGTTTTAATAATTGTATATATTATGTCATTTGGGTAGACTTGTATTGTAACATCATATCGACATACTATCATGTGGTGTTTCCGTCACACAATAATGTATCCATAATCATGAATTAGGCACCAATAACAAACAGTCTCCCTGTGATCATGAAACTATCAGGATCATGCCTCTATGAAAACTTGGCATTACCATAATATTAGAAGAGATAAAAAAAAACTCCTATAAAAGATATTCAAATCATAGTGCATAGAAGTATTGGTATTAATTTCTTCCTCCACAAGTTGGACTGAGGTTCAATTCAGGTCGACACAAGAAAAGTGGAGCTCATCTTGTCTGTGTTGAAGAAGATGGGGACTTTGATTTGGTCATACTGTGGATGACAGAGCATGGGGTCATGTAAAAAGAGTAGTCATACAAATTATTACAATGTCAGATCAAGAAAAAAGTCCCTGCCCCATAATATAAAGTGAGTTTGAATTGTAGGGGCTTGTCTACATTGCCAACCAACCTACCTTTTATTGGTCCTCTCCCATTATTGTTGATGGTGTGCCCTACCTTTGTCACCATTCCATCCCTCAAGAAATCCCGTCTCTGCACACTACACACAGACAACCCCACAACATGCATCAAAAAGCCCAAACCTTTCATATCTATTTTACCTTTACACAGTGACCACTGACCATCCAGTCCAGTCCCGCACTGAAAAAAAGAGAGTGCTCAACTATGACTTTGCCTCTCTTTTTCGAGAAACACTTGCGTAGAACGGAAATAGCACTGTTTTGTTATTTTCGGTCAATCACGATATATCACGCATGACAATTTTTGACCTGACATCATAATTGACTGGGCATAGCTTTTCACGCAAGTTATTCTGCTCTTCCTCACCCAACGTGATTAAAGAATTGGAAATGATACTCCATCCCAATTTGTAAGATTTGAGAAAGCAAAGAGTTTGCAAGGGACTTTTAACTCAAGTAAGAACAATGTGCATAAAAATAAAAAAAATTTAGAAAAACAACACTCTAGGACAACATGCAATACCGACATCACATGGGTCCTCAAATAATTGTGGAGAAAAAGAAAACATTACGAAAAGTAGTCATGATATTCGATTTTTGAATGCACATGTGGATGGATCATGTGTAGATACGAACATGAGGAAGAAGTTACAACAAAATGAAGCAAACTTAAACATGCAGACATGGTACTTTTCACGGCTCACATACAATCAGAGAGGGACATTCAAAGAAAAAAAAAAGGAAAAAAAGATGAGTAATTGAAAGCAAACGTGGGGCTTCATACGTTTGTCTTCCACATAACTTTCGAACCCAACAAGGCTGTCAAATTAATGGAAGCAAAGAGAGTTGCTTTCCACGCCTAGCTGGTAATATAGACCCTCACATGGCATTTAAGTCTTAGAAGTACTGTCAGAATCAAGAAAGGGTCAAAGTAAACTATAACATTTTCCAGTACTTCACGTCTCAAAATTATGTAGACTTTATCTGAAACATACTGCAATATGCTTGTTAAGGCTATTTTCGCAAACATTAATAACCTGATACATATATGTATTGTAGTATTTCGACAGAAGGAAATAACAAAAAATATATATGTATCACTTAATTACAGTATTAGCTTATATATAAACTAAGGTTTTGAGCTAAGTATTAGGCATCCCTTCCCACTCTAAAAAGGGTTGGAGGAGATGCAAATATTACATAAGAGAGAACGGTATATTAACCGGTTAAGAAGTTCAATACTCGAGTGACCCCACGGATGTTATCCCACTCAAATTTCTTGAGTCCTGCCGGCTTCCATAGTCGTCACAGCTATTGTTTGAGAGCCTCTGAGTTGGGACTGACTTTAGAAGGTCTAGGCCTCGTTTTCCCATTTGCTGCACTTCATGTGGTGAGAGTATTTTGATACACCACACACTATTTACAAACTCCCTGGTATCAGCATAAAAACAATGAATCAAGAGACAGCTAATAACCGAATTAAATTGCAAATTCCAAAATAAAGAAACAATTTGGGTTTTTTATGATGTGCCAGAAAGTTTCACTGTCAAGTGGTCAATGTTTCAATCGAGCCTAAGTAGATGCAAGTCATTGGCTACACAGTCCTAGATAACGTGAAAGCTAACTGTGGTCTTGTGGGGAGTGTCGTATTTGCAAATGCCAAGCAACACGGAAATAAGTCTTTCTTTCTTAGCAGAATAATAAAACAAAGACAAATACTAAAAAGTTTTCTCTACAACCCTTAGTCTTAACTCTTCACAACTTATAGCAATACAAACTCTTGTATTAAGTCTTTCAAAGTTCAGACTAGATCACCAATTTTAAGACAAGCATCCTACAATTCATAGCTAGGAGAATATGCCCAAGTTTTCAACCAAAAAATAGTAATAGAAGTGGGAACTCACGGCCAGGGGTCATCCCCGAGGAGAAGAACATCATTCTCCCGGTCAACAAATACAAGCTGCCAGCCTGATCTCACAGGGTCCTCCAACTCGCCTTCAAGGCCAAACATATGAGCAAGCTCACCGCGCAGCTCATGGTAGCTGCTGAACTTGGTAATATCCAGTGACCTCCCGAAAGACCCTGACTTGTAAACCTGCAAATAATTATGGAGTTTGTTTAAAGGACGATAATGAAGACAGACTGCTTAAGGCCACTATCAGATCACTTATAATTGAAAAACTCCTCACAAAACTAAATAAACCAAAAGATATCAAAGAGACAAAACTTAAAAAGACCACTGCAACTTACCTTAACAAAATTATTGTTCAGTGGGTTTCCATGGCCCACATTTTCTGGAGACTGCAGGAAACCTGATTCATCAATGCAACTGGAAGGCGTAACTGCTGGATTAAGTGAAAAATCAGTGCCTGTAGTACTCAAGTAATTTGGAGGAAAATGCATGGTTGTAGAGTCACTATCGCTGCCAACTCCTCTAAGGTTTGACATCCCATTCTGCATTAGAAGAGATGAGGACTCTATATTGACACCAAATAAAAGATGGCTTTGAGGATCAGTGCTCCCTTCTTGGTCTATTGAGCACTCTCTCCCAGGAAACGGCGGCAACGAAATAGAATTCTGAGATATAGTAGTCTGGGGAGGTCCCAACTGTTCCACATGGGGCAGAACACATTGAGAAACTCCAGAAGAAAGAAGAGGTTCAATTGCAGCCCGCTTAGATGGCCATGCGCCAGATGATATTAATTGATTGGTTCTAGGCAGGTTGAGAAGGTGGGATGGTTCATCCTGTGGAAATGAACCCATGAGACTGTGCAAGGGAGATAAAATGGTGCTGGTTGCAGGGTTCCCATTAGAATCAGAAAAACTCTGTTGCTGGCATAGTGAGGTGGCGACTTGCAAAGACGGTGACTGGGATTGAGAGGCAGAAGAAAACTGAGTCATGGCAGAGACAGCACTTGGAATCTGCTGATGATCAACTAGCTGCTGTTGGTTACTGAAAGAATTCTGATGCTGCAGTTGCTGCTGAAGAAGGTGTGACTGAGTTTGAGTCTGGGGCTGTGACTGACGATGGTTTTCCTGAACACTTTGGAGAAAGGCTTGTTGAGATTGAGATTCTTGCACCATATGGGGATGCATCAAGGCAGTAGACCTGCTAGGTAGGTTTTGGGTTTGCTGGAACTGCAGAAGGGATGTAGGAAGCGGTCTGGAAGGATCCACTGCCCTCATCTCTTGAAGTGCAGCAGCAGCCATAGCTTGGTACATGTCTGTTTGCAAGCCAATCATGGAGGCATCAAGCCTTGGCTGCATATATGGTGTGACCCCAATGCCAGGAAAGTTCAGAGATTGGATTCCGCGGTCCCCATTATCTCCTCGAAGCCACATAAGTTGAGAATTCATGCCAAGATCATCATCCCTGATACCTGAGAGAACAAAGGAGGCAAGTAGAGAGGAAAATACATTATTAAAAGATTTTCGTAGTGCCTCAATGCAAGTAGGTATAAACTAGAGGAGCTGAAACTAGCCCTAGATGTAGCAGCAAATGAGCATACCATGGAAAGAGGGTAGTCCAGGAGGCCATGGTCGCTTAAGCCTAAGGGGGAACGGAGATGGATACATGGGGAATGTTGTTAATGGCTCAATCTCCCACAGTGAAACTCTTGGCTGCCTCTCCCCAGCCGTGGATTCATCCCAACCCACCTGAATTGAGTGAAAAAAATCATAAATTTCCAGCAAAGTTATAAAAGATATTAGGTAATATCCTGAAAAGAACTACATCTATCAAACTAAATAGTCACTTTACAGTTAATCTATCTAGCAAAGTTATACATAGATATGAAATTAATCTCAACAAACCTTGACTGAGCGCCAATGTGAATTAGGCCACCGAGGATCTAGGTCACTTATGCCAGTTATTGTTCCCATGTAGCTGATAACATAGAATCATCAGCTATCAATAAATAACATTTATAACTTCTACAATGAAATTCATATCAAGGATGACAGCAGTCTTTAATATATTGAAATCCCATCTTGTTATTTTGAATTATTCTATTTATATAGATTATATAGATAATTCCCTACCGGCGGACACTTGATTCTTCTGTTTCGAACAACATTCGAAAACGCATCCCAACAGAAATGCAAGTATGATAGACTGCTTTGATGTACTTGGTCAGGGGAATAACGAACTCTGATGGGCTAGCCCTACATGAAAGGTGCTGTAAATATTAAGGGAAGCAATGAACCCAAAAGATTTGATATCATCAGTCTGCACAGACTCATACCTTGGATTATAAAATATGGTGAAACGACTATTTGTTGCAGCTGCATGAGCTGCGGCAGCAAGAAGTCCCAAGTGCATGCTGTCACTTGATAAAACTGATGAAGGCATCACAGTTTGTGGTCGGTTAGCTCTCCGGATACCAAGGAGTAGTTGATTCTTTTCATTCCTGAAGCAGGCAAAAAACAAGTACAATGAGCATGGCAAAACATCACATAACTTAAGGTGAATCATATGCTCAGCTAAATATGACAAGCCAAGATAAAAAGTTAAGGTTTTTCATGTCATAGAAATACCATCCATTGCAGCAAGATAGTTTGAGTAGAGGGAGAAACACAGAGAAGAAAAAATCTAATAACTCAAAAATGCCTAGACAAAAGCAGAACACTGGATCGTGCCAGCCGAGAAAGATATACAGCAGAGAATAAGTGAACAGCCTACCAGATGAAAAGAACTGAATCTCCAGCAACAAGTCTTTTAGCACTCACAAACACACTCCACCCTGTTGTAAGGAGGTGCCTTTTGGGCTGGCCTGAAATATAAAAAAGTCAACAACCGTTCCAATATGCATATTATAGAATGAAAGCCCTGTCAACATGGTAGTTCCATTATTCAAGTTGGAAAACCAGCAGAATGGCTGGAGAGCATCAACAAATGTTTAATGAGGTGTAAACTCATACTCATCTCAAATCAAACTTGATTCTCACTGTCTACTTCACTCATTCAAGATTTTGAAGGGAAATTGAAAACTTTCTTCATTTTTAATGAAAAATACTTAGAATACTCACCACGAAAAATGTGTCTAAACTTCCATTCATTATCATGAAGATCCCTCGCAATTAACTCTTGCGCTGGCGGTTGTTGGGCGAAATCCTGCATGTCAAAGTTCATGAACTCAGAAACAAAAAGGAGATAATAAAACCAGGGAAAATTCTATAATGTGTAGACAGGAACCAAGTGCCAGAACTATTGCACAAACTACAGCAATTAGCTTAAAATTGATGGCCATAATCCACGTAGTAATTAGAGAATTTACCAAAGGAGGAAAAACTTTTTCAGCTGCCCGACGAGGAACAGAGAAACCACCATGGGTACTTGTGTCACTGGCTGTCAAGGTTTTACAAAAATAATTTGTTGGCTGTTTGTTTGGGTTGCCCAACCCTGCTGGGAGGTACCCATCCTTTTGCTCTTGCTGCAGAGATGAAGGTTATTTACAATGAGAGCAATCAACAAGACCAATAACTCCAAAAGCCAGTTAAGGCAAAGTGGCATACCAGACTTAGCGGTTGCAAGGTCATCTGTGCATATACTTCATCAGTTTCAACATCGGCCTGAAGTTAACAATATTTAACCTTTAGAAACCTGCATATAGGAATTTTCAAAACCAAATTATAAGCAAGCCTTACATGCATTGTCACATTGTGGAGTTGACAGATAAGTTGTGGAGGTAAGCTTGGGTAGTTGGGGATATGGGCATCCACTTCCTTGTTGGTTGATGCAGCAACCTACATTATGAAGCACTTCAGTTTGCATAGGAGGAAAAAGAACAAAAAAATATATTACATTTACAGAAGACTGATCTCACAAAATATGACATTTGTTGCCAAAAAATTGGACAAACAAATTCATCCTTTCGCTAAGGTAAATTGGCGATATGTAAATAAATCTGCTTCAACCTGTTATTGCAAAGCAGAACAGACGAAATTATTACACAAACCTGTTCACTGTGACCTTGGGGAAAATAAACTACACGGCTCCCAACAGCCGGTAAAGAAACAAGAGGACCCGCACAAGCATGCCAAAGTTCAGAATTCAAAACTCTCTTCTCCCCTGCAAAATTCAATTCAGCAATATAAATACCCATAAAGAACAAGACTTGGTTTCAGAATATGATTATAAAGCCACCAAAATAGAGAATCTAAAGAATGTTTAAATGGCATTCAAGGGCCTCACCAAGAGGGAAATAAATTTTTCATCAGTACGACCTTCTGGAACTCATGGTAAACGACCAAATTTCACACTAATTTTTTAAGTTTATGATGATTGTGACATGATATAAATTAAACCCCAAGCATAAGAAAAAGACAGAAACTGATAAAGTAATCCAAATTAAGCCACTGCCAGCTGAGAAAATGGAGGAAAGAGAAGATACGGAACAGTATATATTAAGCTTGATGAAATTTTGGTCTCCAGGAGCAAAGGAGAAGTAGAAGAGAGAGAGGGGGAGAGAGAGAGAGAGAGAGAGAGAGAGAGATGATAGCTTAACACAACTAACTGGAATTATCTGGCTAATTTGGGTTATCAACATCCCAAATCCTAATTCATACAACATATTAACCATATAACTCATTTTAACATCCTGACAAAAGAGAAGAAAAATACACACAGAAGAATTCTGCAAGCAACATTCAACATACCTTCCTGGGATTGAGGACTAAAACCAGCAGATGAGAGCCTCATCTATGCAGAGATTCAAAAACGTCGAAAGCCTCAAATTTGAGCGCACAAATAACGATTCAAGCCCACTCTCAATCACAATAATTTAACACCAAAATTCACCCAAAGTGCTGGACAGTCGTTTTCTTCAGCTCCCTTCTTTTTACTGCACAAAATCATATCTTCACCAGCCAAAATCCCTTCAAACCCCCAAAAGAAACAAACTTCATGCACAAATTTGTCAGGAAACTACTAAAGCATGAAGCTTCATATTCATGCAAAGATAACCATAAGAACCCTCAATACCCCCACTTCTGTAACTTCAACCGAAACCGGTTTCACTACAAAACACAATCAATTTCAGCCTCATTCGCACTTGGTCAACCTCAACCACACCCCCCAAAATGTCCAATCTTTAATTAAAGTCTTCATGCCACAATCTTTTAACAAACCAACCTCAACATTTGAGACTCACTTACTCCCACCTCTAGCACAAAGCTTCATAGTCAAAGCTTTACACTCCCTAGATAGCTCAATCTCAAAAACCAAGCATTTACAGCAACAACCCAACAAAAACCACGAGCCTAAAGACCCAATAGTGCTAACAGAAGCACCAGATCTCAGCCTCAGAACACCAAAGCTTGTGCCACCAATGAAAACCAGAAAGGACCAGATCTCAGACCATAAGGAACCCAAAAGAAAGTAAGACACAAGCACACAGCCTATGCATTATTCTGAGAGCAAATTGAAAGCTACGTGATGATCACTCTGCATAAACAGCCTACCAGATAACAGAAACAGATACTCTTCAAGAAAGAATATATGCATATAATAGAATCCGAAAGTTGGGTTTGGTTTCCAGTTTTCCAGTAATGGATGGAAACACAAGGTTTCTCGGTCTGGTATGCGGTGGTGGTGATTGTTCTAGTACACTACTAGTGCTTGCTGGCTTTGCCACTATTGCTTTACCTCTCTCTCTTTTCTCTCTCAGCTCTGCCCCAATCAATCAAAGCACAACCGCCATTATTTTTGGCTGTCTTTTTTATACCATGGGAACAAGTAATTAAAGAAAGACTTTAGAGACAGTATGAGAGAGAAAGTGTCAGATTTTTTGAGAGAGAAGGTTTTGCAAATTTTTCTTTGTTCCTTTTGATTGATGGTGGGTTACCCTTTCTTTTATTTTTTTTTTTCCCAGCTAGCGGTGATTTATGCAATGAAATAAAAATGGGCACGATGGTGATGGTTTTTGCAGAAATACCCTTGAAAAGCAGAGAGAGTGGAAAATGTTGAAGCATGGAGAAAACAGTTTGAAATTGTTTTAACTTGCATGGATTGATTAGATAGCACTATACACTTAAAGTATGGTGATAGGCTCATAGCTGATAGCTGTGGCTTTTCAACTTGCAAGTTGGTCGAGATGGGCCAACACGGATTCCATCTTCACATTATATTTTTAAGTGCTTAATTTAATTTGTGCCCATATTATGTCTACGACCAAACTTCGACTTTGGCTGCAAAGTGAATGCAATAACAAAAAATTGCAATTATAGGCCTAGCCCTAGTATGTGAAAGTCCATGCATTTCATGACATCTTACTCTTCGATAAAAAAAAAATTATTCCTGTTGGAAAACAGTGAATATGGCATCTACCGCCATTATAGAGTGCGACATTAAGCGACGACAACGTAAATAGATAGATCTTATTATGTATTGTACTTGTATAGACGATCTTATTAAGCGACGACGACGTAAATAGATAGATCTTATTATGTATTGTACTTGTATAGACGATCTTATTATGTATTGTGCTTTTATTCGCCTTACATATAATGTGATTATGAAAAATTCCTAAAGGCTTTTAGGAAATATACGAGAGATGTTTAGTAAGAAAATCATAACAATGGGAGATTACGTCTCGAACTATAGTGGACCAAGTGGAGTGGGCAGGTATCTATGATCGTTTGTGACTCTCTTTAAAATAAGGTCTACAAGGCTAGAGGAGATGTTGGTTTAGAATTTACAAGAAGGGAATGTTTGGCGCTTCCTCATTCATGGTCTTCGTCTTTGACTTTAATCTCACTCCCATTCTAATTCTATGGGCTCGGCTATAAGACAAAAAATGTTAATTAAAAAAGAGAAAAAAATTACACGAAAGCACTGAAAAGATAAATAAGAGAACATAAGATCGTTTTCTACTAAACTATAGACCTCGTTGGCAAATCCCTTCTTTTAACGTGGTTGATAATAAGTTTTAATATGATCATATTATACACAAGTGTTACGTCGAAAGTCAAACGAGTCAAACGAATGAGCGTTTATAGCTTTGACATACGGGAGCTAAACTCTATTTATTTATTTTGGTGGAATCAAAGACTAAACTCTTTAAGCCTTAAATCATATGGGTGCAAAGTGTAGTTCATCCTTAAATTAATTTTTGTTATAATTTCTGAACAACAAAAAGGGTATTTTAAAAAAAAGGTAATTATTAAAGAGCATGCATGCATGACTCACGTGCCTTGGTTCAGCTTCGTAATTCCGATCCATTTTGGGGGTGTTTAACGGAATCTGATGATCGTACGGATAACTGAGGGAATCGCGTACATAAACAGAAGGGAAAAGGACGAATCCTAACCTTTCACTGGGCAGAAAATGGGTCCAGTGGGATTATGATGAGACGTGACGGAAAAACTATTGCGTTTCCTATTGGTCACTGTCATCCGTACCGTGAACTCTACCACAGACAATAACTTACCCCACACGTTATTACATTATTACTACTACAGCTACAGGAGACGTTAGTGGCAAAATTGTAAAATCGATCTTCGCTATGAAATGGTTGTCACAGAATAGGATAAATCTATCATTGCCTTGTCTTCCTTTCGTTTTTATTTCTTTTATTTTTGGTCGACATTGTCTTCCTTTTCATCTCCAAATTTATAATTTCAGATTTCAAAGGATAAACCCATTAAATACTACTAAATAAATAAATAAATAAAATTTCTTAATTAATTAAAATGCGTAACTCGTTCTTTTTTAAATTCGTACACTCCTTATGTGAGTGCATACAAATTATAAAATATTCAATTTAAAGTGCATATGACTCAAAAAAACAATGTCAAAATATTAGCCTTATGAAGGCCTTTATAAATTTATCATCATATTGTATACATTTTATATGCGCGTGTAAGATCTTTGGATCTTTCTAGTTAGAGCTTATGATTTGGCATTTTAACTCGAGACTCGATAAAAATTCAGCTAACATTCGACTCGATCCAGTCACTCCAGTGAGGACTCATATTCGATAATTTAGAGCGTGACCTACCTCTCTACTCTCTAGTGAGGACTCATATTCGATAAAAAGAGGATGAAACTCCTGCATCTATAGAACACTTTAGACTTGCTTGCTTGTATTTGTTATATTATGCCAAAACATATACATCGGATATTAACCTATGAGTCCGGCACACCAGTTTGACCCGACCCGAATCCACTGACCCCACATCCCATGTATTAAGGATATATCAATATCATGGTATTTCACACGGCAATAATACCTGTAAAATAGGAATTTTTTTTTCCCTAGTGTTAATTTGATGACTCCATTTGTCAAAAGAAAAGTCAATACGTAAAAAGAATGATATCAATTTGAACAGAAAGTTCCACTAACAAAAAAAATTGAACAGAAACTGGCCACATCATAAATCACTAAAAACAAACGATATTGGAGATGAAGAATTAAATACGAAACTTCGAATACATAAATAACTGTTATTAACCATTTGAATTACAAAATAAGTGATGTTTTGCTGTACATAGGATACGTTAAAACATCGCCTTCAAAAAACTACAGATTCTTTAGTATACATGTGAGCATTTGTAGCTTCATGGAAGGATAAGATGTGCCCTTTAAATCTTTCATTTTCACTTACAACTCAAGCCACCATTGTTCTAATTTTGGCAAAGAAACCAAAGCCAAGGCCATCTATATATGCAGATTTTGGCAGAAGAGGGAGACCTTTGTGTTCAAGGAACATGGCATGTCTTCTTTCTCTTGTATGATTTGAAAGGATGTTGGTTTTATTCACGCATTCAAACTCATTGTTCCATGTAAATTTCCAATTGCATGCATAAAACGTGATTTTATTTCTGGAAAAAAAATCTGAATCTGAAATTAAAACCTTTCATCTCTTCTCTTGAGAAATATATAATAAAAAAATAGAAATAGGTTTTCATATAGCGTCAGAAAGTCGGCACCTCAGATTTTCAATTAAATTCCCATCATTTTCAGTTTGGCATATAAACAGGTCCATTATATATCTAATCCGATTTCATCTGGAAAAAGTACAAAACTTGAGAGGGAGAGTGTACGAGCTTTGGATGCATGCAATGGGCCATGCATATCTATATATACATATACTTCCAGGAGATTAGGAGCCAGCCAAGAAGCAGCTAGCAAAAGTTTAACCCTTGACACACAACCGACACCTTTGAAAAACAAAACAATATCAAACGGTGTTCAATTAATGCGTTACTGCAGCTTGAAATATCTGAGAGAATGTCAAAATCTATATACATGTTCATCTTCCACCCAACATAACACAAATTTGACCATTCGCCATTAAGTTAGTCTCTCATGATAAGTATACATACCTAAACTGCTCCACTTGCCCCATGTGAGAGTGAGAGCTAACTACAAAAATATTTCAAATGAATGGTACATCTATTGGTTTTGTTTTTCGAGAGGCGAATTAGGCGCTCATAGACTAGTTCGTTTTGCCTTGTCTTTACCTGATGCATTTATGTGGTATTGGAGGATTCTCGCGATGTCATTCACTTTAATTTCATTATACAAAATATATATATATATATAGTTTCATTATTATTTGTGATTAGAAGCGGGAAATTATTATAATAAAAAATCACAAAAGGGTGGCATTTTGCTTAAAAGAGATGGTACTGCCGAGTAGCTGTAAATGCAAAAGGTTTAGACCAAATCACACTAACATAACATATATACTCTTTCAAAATGATATGGATTTGAATTGTAGCTGAAGTGGAGAATAATCCCGTCCCTGTCAAGTTGTAATCATATTCCTAATCAAATCATGTTTAGCTTTTGATATCCAATGAAGCACGCAATTTAATAAAGAAAACCAAGGTGCCCAAGTTTTTCTTTTTGTTTCATCCTCTCAAATTATGAGCAAAAAGAAAATTAAGCAACTTTTTCCTTTGCGGAGAGAGTTTGTTCTTGAAAATTTTCTAATTTCATCCGAATATTCAAAAAGTATATGTTCCCTATATATGTCCAATGAAGCCCAAGATGTGACAAATATAAAATATGATTTATTTATAAATAAATAAACTAATTCACCTTTATTTCACAAGATTATTACATGCATAAACTCTCGGATTATACCTACATAGGTGCAAAATCATTTTTGTTATTTTGTAACAAAAGCGAATAATTTGGGAGTGATTTTGGGAGGATCATAATCATTTATTGGGAGAACTACCTACCCCGTGCTTCTCTATATAATCACTTTAAGGGCCTGTTTGGGAGTACTTCTACAATGACTAAAAGTGCTTTATGGTAACTAAAAGCATTTTCGATAGTGTTCGGTAGAAAAGTTTAGAAGTGCTTCCTGAAGAAGCATATGACTTGGATTTTTTTTATTAAAATTCAAGATTTTTATAAGAAAAGTGCAATTGTTAGAAGCGATTATGAGTAAAAGTACTTCCTAGAGATACAACCCAAAACGAGCCCTAATTGATTTTGGGAAGAAGCACCTCCCATATGCTTCTTCATAAAATCACTTAAAACCATTTATTATATGGAGAAATGATTCTCTATAGAATTGATTATTGGTCAAATCATTTTTGTTATTTTGTAACAAAAGCGAATAATTTGGGAGTGATTTTGGGAGGATCATAATCATTTATTGGGAGAACTACCTACCCCGTGCTTCTCTATATAATCACTTTAAGGGCCTGTTTGGGAGTACTTCTACAATGACTAAAAGTGCTTTATGGTAACTAAAAGCGTTTTCGATAGTGTTCGGTAGAAAAGTTTAGAAGTGCTTCCTAAAGAAGCATATGACTTGGATTTTTTTATTAAAATTCAAGATTTTTATAATAAAAGTGCAA